AGCGTCGTCCATACAGCTCACAAGAGCAGATGTTTAGAGAAGCGGTTGAAACCCACAGCTTTGCCACTGGAGTCAGCAGAAGGATGTGGGTGCTGAACATATTGTAACGTACTGCTGAGGGTAGACGAGCTACTCTCACATTCTCAGTGAAGACAAAGGCCTCTTTCAAAGCCCTTACAATAAAAGCCACGCCACTCTGGCTGATTGACAGCTGTGAATAATTTTATCACTCAGAAATCTGGCAGAGAGACAACTGAAGCATTTCTGCAAGCGGTTTATAAGTAAACTTGTGTCGTAGCACGTCAAACCTGCATTTTTAATGTTTATTAGTTATAGCTTTGAAACTTGGCAGGTTAAAGGAACAGTTTGGTGAAGAACCAACATTACACGATGTTCTTCCCCTTACCCCATATGTAAAAAGCCAAATTCTCACTTTTTACAAGTAAGAATTGGATGCCCACAGACTCCATATATGGTAACTGAATGAGATGTTATGTGATGTCACCAAACCTGATACATTGGCATACATCCACCTATTCAGCAGTTTAGCTCCGGCCACTCATGCCGAAGTTATGTCAACCTGCGTTTTGAAGAAAGAACAATACAGGCCAATCAGAACAGAGCTCATTTAAACATATCAGCTTTGAAGGTACAATAACAAAAACAGCCTGATTGATTGTATGGGATAAAGAGAGGATGGAGAACAGTTATGAATTAAAATGAATTATGACTGTTTTTGGTACATAAAAAAATCAAATACAAGAAGAGAAAAAAATAAAATGCAGGGGAAATATAGGATGTGCGCCCTTCAAACTTGCTGTCTGAATAGGCAGATATGTGTAAATGCATTTACTTTCGTGATGTCATAAATGCAATGATCTCCAAAAAGGCTGTTTTCTCCTTTAAGGATTATATGAGTTGACAAGAGATTGATATTCTTTGAAACAAAGCTGAGCATCTGCGCACTGATTATTTAAAAGCTTGTTCATGTATTTAGGTATTTATGTATTTACATACCAGTTCAACATCTATGATCTTTGTTCTTTCAGTGTTCTCTTGTGACCTGTGCCTGTACCCGACATCCTTTTATTTACTAATGAAAACCTTTGAAAACAGTGTTCAAAACAGCCTTTAATAGTCTGCACCAAATTTTCAATTCAGAAAGTGAGGAAAGTTTGGTCTTTTGGTCTGTTTGGTAGAGGAGGGATAATGATATGGGGCTGTTTTTCGGGGGTTGGTCTAGAACCCTTAGTTCCAGTGAAGGGAAATCTTAATGCTTCAGCACCAAGACATTTTGGACATTTCTACGCTTCCAATGTTGTGGGAACAGTTTGGGGAAGAACCTTTCCTGTTCCAGCATGACTGAGCCCCAGTGCACAAAGCAGCTCCATAAAGGCCTGACTGGGTGAGTTTGGCGTGAAAGAACTTGACTGGCCCTCACAGAGTCCTGACCTCAACCCCATCAAACACCTCTGGGATGAACTAGAATGGAGAGCCAGGCCCTCTCGTCCAACATCACTTCAAAAACTTGTAGAAAGCTTCCCAGAAGAGTGGAAGCTGTTATAGCTGCAAAGGGGGACCAACTCCTTATTATTGCCTATGGATATAGAATGGGATGTCATAAAAGCTCCTGTAGGTGTGATGTGTAGGTGTCCCAATACTTTTGTCCAAACAGTGTAAGTGTGGGTGCCAGGGTCATCATACTTTTGAATTTTTATAGTGTTATATTTAGTTTATCATGTTGTTTTTTTGATTTTGGTTTCGTTTCAGCTTGGCTCCAGCTTTCCTTAAAGACCAAACACAGTAGAGATCGACTTCTAAACTTTCATTAACACACTTAAAAACTGAAACTAAAAGCAATTCTATTTGCTTTGCAATAGACATAGTTTTCATATAGTCATTTTTATTTTTTATTACAGCAAACAAGCACATTCTTTCACTGCCAGTGTTTGTTTTAGTAATAGTTTTAGTTCACTGTAATAACCCTGGTGGGTGCACCATTAATAATTCAATTTTTTCATTGCTTTCTGACAACCCTATTGTTGGTTCTTCCTTAAATGAAGCCATCTCTTCATGCATGAGTACAAACATTCCTGGAAACGAAACAGATCTGATGTTCTTTTTTATCTCAGTATCACCAAACAGGAATGTAGTTGTGGTTAGAATTCAGAAATGGTTTGGCTCACAGCTCAGAACAGCATATTGACAGTACCTCCGTGCCAAAACCCTCGAGGCCTAAAGCTGAGCAGAACGCAGAGGAAAGGGTTTGCAAATAAATAACCTTAAGAGGAAATAGACATGAGTGAGTAGAGGTGCTGTTTCTTGGCATGGATGGGAAGGATGTCAGGAGTGGGCCATTCTCCAAAATCTTCAGCTACTACATAACTCTAAAGGAGTTTATTTTACCAATGTTTTTTTCCAATGCAATAAAGTTCCTTTTGTTATAATTGTGAAGCCTTACTTGACCCTTTTGGCCACACACTGAATCTGCATTTTTAAAGGTCTTGACATTTCTGCTGTCATGGTCAAAGACTTGACACTTTCTGATCATTTCTGTAACTTTTTTGACTTTCTGATCTCTCCAGATGTTCAAGTGGCCATGGATGGTCATAGCTGTGGGTTGGTGGAAGTTTTGGTGATGTGTTTTTACAGAAACATCTCGGACTATTTGGGTGATTACTGGGCTCTTGTGTTTCTACTAAAATCTTTTGGGTTTTAAATCTTTTGGGTCTTTGGCCGTCAACTCGTTTCGGACTCCTGGCAGCCATATCGTGGGGTTTGGTGACCATATTGTGGCCCATATTGTGGGCCGCACTGCTTTGAGGAGCTTGGGGGGGTGTGGCTCTCAGGAGGTACCACACTACTGGTGTAAAAAGAATTTTACTGGCGTAAACATTTGTTGTTGTTGTTGTTGTTTATGCTGTTGCTGTAGTTGGAATGTAGTAGCGTTAATTAGAGTTATTAGAGTTTATTAGAGTTAATTAGAGTCTACCCTCCTCGTATGTTGTGTCATCCCAGGTCACCTCCCTGTTTCTTGTTGGAACAGCACTGGGTTGGGCACTTCTGGTCTTTGTAAAGACTTGCTGTTGAAGTGCCTGTTCAGCATAGAGCTTTTGCCTCTTCTTTGCCAATGCTACAATATGGATAATGTTTCTCCAGAATATCCTGTATTCTGTTTGGGCCTTCAGGCTTCTGAATAGGTCATCCTCATCCTCTCTTACCTTCAACTCTTCTAAGCATAATGGTCTTTTCCAATGAATTGATTCTTCTCAGAATGTGGCCAAAGTAAGAGCTCAGTTTGCTTATCTGGGCTTCAAGTGAGAGTTGAGGCTTGAGTGGTTGGTATAGTGTAGTGGGTAACACCTCTGCTTTCTGCGTTGTAGACTGGGGTTCAGTCGCCCACCTGGACAAGCACCCTGAACTATACCAAGAGTCCTTGGGCAAGACTCCTAACACTACCTTTGCCTACCTGTGTAAAATGACCAAACTGTTAGTCGCTCTGGATTAGAGCGTCTGCCAAACGCTGTAAGGGATTTGGTTGATGATCCATTTGTTTTTCTTTGCCGTTGAAGGTTCTCTCAAAGGTCTTCATCAATGCCAAAGTTCATCCACATTTCTCCTGTCTCGCTTGTTTATTGTCTAGCTTTCACATCCATAAGGAACCACAGAGAAGACCACAGCCTGGACAATCCTGATCTTTGTCTATAGAGACAAATCGACGTATTTGAAGATCTTTTCAAGCTCCTTCAACTTTGTTCTGCTGAGCACCAATCTGTGTCATATTCCTTGAGTGCTGAAACCTTTGTTGTTTTTAATTGATCTGAGTATTTAAAAGCTGTCCACCATTTCCACATCATCTCCATGCATGTAGGCATATAAAGTGACGCTGTCCTAACAGAAATGTCCAGGTAATATGACCTGAAGTTTCATGAGCTGACAGTTTACATTTCTGTGACCTCACAGGGTAATTTCCAGACTAATCATTCTTAGCCATCATAGCTTGAAGATTATTAGATTAACTCGAATGCTTCCCAGATGCATTCCAGCTTGTCACAGATAACTAATGACAACACTGTACAATATGTGCTCCAGCTACACCTATTGTGTGTTCTTTTATCTGACAAGGGTGCATTGTTCATTTGAGTTTGGCTGTGAAAATAAGTTTACGGTTTCATCCATTACTTCAAAAATAGTCGATCAGCCTAGACATGACAGATTTAACCCTTTTCTTTTTCAACCAAAACAAATAAAGAAAATTACTACAGTACCTTTAGAGTTTAAATACAACAGGCATGATGATTATATTAAATAAAAATTCACTAAAATTTACAGACCTTTTTTTTATCCTACAGACATTATTATAGCCTTCTTTGAAAGATATTTCCAACAAAAGGCAATGATACGACTAAATTACAGACATGTCGCCCATTCTTCAATGGGCCTTATTCACCAATATCTTCCTAAGTTTGTTCTTAAATGTGTTCTTGAGAAAAGTCCTAAGAAAAAGTCTACGTCAGTTTCATGACGTGTTCTTAAACCGCAGAACTGTTGGCACCTTTGTGCTCTTGAGTGTGTAGATTCTGTTCTTACCTAAGAACAAATCCCAGACAAGAAAACATTGGTGAATGCCAGAATCTTCATGCAAACTGCGTAAGTGGGTTTTAAGAAGGAATTTTTTCTTATGAACAGTTGGTGAATGAGGCCCTGGAAGCAAAAGTGCCTGGTGGAGTGAGTTAATTTCAAAGTGAGAAAGTTTGCACAAAACGAAGGGCGAATAAATGAATGATGCTGTCAGAAAAGTCACATTTAATGTAAAAGATATAATCAGTTATAGATGTTAGAATTCATTTAATTATGTCTCCATAAATCAAACAATCAGATTTTTTGCGCTTAAGCCAAATTGCAATCCAAAGTCAGTAATGCCTCAGAAATGAGAGCTAGGAAACAATGCAGACTGATTTACTGGCCGATTGACTGTATATGTTTGTGCCTCCATGCAGAATAAACCAGGCTGTGACGCAGGGCTTCGAGCAGGACGTTGGCTACAGGACCACTCACCATGTGATGTATCCGGAGAGCGCCATTGACCTGCAGAACAACTCCACCAGCCTGCTGCTGGTGCCCTTCAAAACACTGGACCTGGAGTGGGTCATCAGCGCACTGACCACAGGCAAAATCACATAGTGAGTACAGCAGACGAGGGCAGATTGATGTCTTATAAGTGTTTATGTGAGTTATGGGCAAAATGACGATGCAGTGGTACACGATCGTTAGAGCACCACTCATCAAATGACATGTTTTGTTGACATTCTAGGTGTAAATAAGTGAACTAATCCTCTACGCACACTTCTTCACATTGTAACTGTATTTCACTAGTAAATTCAAGCACTCTCCTCAACCGGGCGACAGTCGTCCACAGGGAGACTGGTGGATTTAAAGTTGATCTGAGCTACCCCTACAAATCGACTGATGGGTCGAAAAATAGTTTGTCTGTTATCTAACCACACAGAACGATGGTTTGGCTCAACACTATGATTTCTGTATGCGTATTTAGCTCTTTGTGGAGACCAAATCTCCTCACTTCAACTATACTATAATTAAATTCATTTCATTATACTATATTACACTATATTGTTTGGTTTATACTCAGTTGATGTCATGTGGTGATTCAGACCACCATCATTTACTGAAGAAAGTTACAATACAAAGTTGGACTAAGACTAAAATATGAATAACTCATAATATTTTTAGGATACATTATTTATTACAGATATATTATATAGTGTTATATTTATAAATATGTTTACCAATATAACAACTAAAATATAACAATGTTTATGTATGTAATATATATCATGTATAAGGAAAGAATGAATTTACAATGAACTATGAAGTATATATATATATATATATATATATATAATATATACAGAATTGATTTCAAGTCAGAGATAAAAACACATTTTTTGGACTTTTAACTGGACTTTAGATTAAAATCCTTTGCTCTGAGTGACCGTATACCCGAAGTATGTTTATTTTATTAAAACAAATGATTAAACATTCCATTCCAAAAGACTGTAGGTGCTTATCATTATTATTATTATTATTATTATTATTATCATTATTGCTGATGTGGGTCAGTCCTTATCTTCATCCTTGTGATTATTCCTCCTCTGTGGTCCTGCAGTGCTCTTTCACACTCATTTCATCTCCTCTACACACAGAATGACACAACTCTGTGAAACCCACAGTTTAGAAGCAGTTCAATTAAATCTTTATAGAACTCCAGCATTTCTAATATCAGCTGAAGATTTTCTGCCGTCGCTTAAACACATGAGAGGAATGTTTCCAGGTCATAAAGAGACTCTTCATCAGGGAGGAGGGTGAAAAAAGACCCCGCAGACAGTTTTTATATTAATCTGATCTGATTAACAGAGTGAAGGAGTGACGAACTGACGACTCACACAGTCTCTCTCTCTCTGTGTCTCTCTCTCTCTCCCTCTCTCTCTGCCTCTCTCTCTCTGTCTCTCTCTCTCTCTCTCTCCTGTCTCCCTCTCTGTCTTACTTTCTCTCTCTCTCTTTCTCTCTCTCGCTGTGCCCCTTTTCCTCGCTCTCTTTTTTCTTTCTCTTCTTTTCTTTCTTTTTTTTCCTTTGTTTATTTATTCACTTATTTCTCCCATTTGTTCTCTCTCTTGTTGTTCTCTTTTCTTCTCTGTCATTTTCTTCATCTTTCTCTCTTTTTCTTCTCTCGCTCTCTCTTTCTCTTTTTGCCCCCTTTTTTCTTCCTCTCTCTTTTTTCTCCTTGCATTTTTTTGTTTCTCTTTTCTTTCTCTCTTACTGTCTTTCTTTCTTTTTTTTTCTTTTGTTCTTTCATTTGTTCTCTTTCTTTTTTCTTCTCTTTCCCTCTTTGTCTCTCTCTCTTTCTCTCTCTCTCTCTCTCTCTCTCTCAGTACATACATGCCTGTCATGTCACGGATCAAGGCTAACAGGAACAAGGTGAGCTCTTCTCTCTTTTTTTGTCATTCTTGTTTTTTGCCCTTTTCTTTGACCCCTCCCCTCGTCCTTTTTCACATCCTCATATTTCTGCTCTAAGAATAAGCTTCCATGTTGGACAGCACTTTGTTTCTGTTTGTGTTTTTCTTCTATAAACTCCTGTTTATTTTTCAGGTGTTGGTTTACAGTCCCACCTTTCTGAAGTACGTCCATGAGACGTGGCTGGACGGTCACGGCAGATACCCGTCCACCGGTTTCCTGTCACTCATCTTTGCGGTGCACGTATGTGACGAGGTACTTTGACACGTTCAGATGCTTCTTTTCTTAACACACAGAACCAGACCACACAGCTTGTATGATCTACAGAGGAAAGCGTTGGTCAGTAGACGCTCTGGAGCACGATGACCAACACCAAGCACTTGCTAGAGGAGCATAAAGCCCCCCAGCATTGGGCTGTGAGTGATGAAGCTTCATCCAGTACCTTTGGGATGAGTTGGAGATCCAGAACTGACCATCCAACATCAGTACCTGACCTCACTAATGCTCAACCAAATCCTCACAGCCATGTTCCAACATTTAGTGTAAAGCCTTCCCAGAGGAGTAGAGGCTGTTACTGCAGCAAAGGTGTCCAAATGTTTAACTTGCACTGTATTAATAACTTTTGACTCATTTGTATGAGTCAGTATATGAGGACTCCAACAGTGCAGTGTCGCCACCTAATGGCCAACAATGTCCACTGCCTCTCCGATTTTTTTTTCTGTGTGATAAAATGAAATTGACCACTTTATGGATCACGTACTCTGGAGCACAGCACAAATTAATTTTACACTTCAGCCCCCTTGTTGAATTAGCTGTGGTCACGTTAGCATGAACGACATAATATTATATTAAATTACAGGATTTTTTTAACCTGGTTCAAGAACTCATAACCTTTTTCTTGAAGTTTCAATCCTGAGAACCATGTTCTCATATCTGCCATACTGTATCAGAGGATCTCCAGTTCTTCTTCATGCTCTTCAAGAATTTCTCCTTCGAGGTCTTGGTTCCTCCAGAGGTTCTTGATCATGCTCTTCAAGAGTTTCTCCTTCAAGGTCTTGGTTCCTCTCAGTGGTTCCTGATATGTTCTTCAAAAGTTCCTCCTTTTGAGTCTTGGTTCCTCTCAGTGTTTCTCCCTAATGCTTTTAGGGAGTTTCTCCTCTGGAGTTTTGGTTCCTCTCAGTGGTTCTTCCTCAGGCTCTTAAGAAGTTTTTTCTTTTGAGTCTTGGTTCCTCTCAGCAGTTCTACCTCAGGCTGTTTGGGAGTTTCATCTTTGGAGTCTTGGTTCCTCTCAGTTGTTCTTCTTCATGATCTTAGCAGTGGTCTCCAGTCCTAGTCCTGAAGAGCTGCCCTCCTGCAGAACCCAGTTCCAACTACACTTTGCTACAGTTTGCTGCTCCAGCTAATCAGTCTCCTCCCCAGTCCCTAATTGGCCGGATCAGATGTATATGACTTAAGTAAGGGGTGGGGCAGCTTATTGGATACAGGTTAGAACTAAACTCAGCAGTAAGGCAGCTCTCCAGGACCAGGGGTTGGAGACCACTGTCTGAGGGAGTTTCTCCTTTGGAGTCTTGGTTCTTCCCAGTGGTTCTTCCTCATGCTTATAGGCTACGTTCACATTACCAGGTTGAAGTGGCACAAATCCGATGTTTTCAGAGCTGTGTGGACACGCAAATCTGATCTTTTCAAATCCGACCTGAGCCACTTTCATATGTGTGTCCTAGATCGGATGTGTATCTGATTCATGGCCTGCAACCTTAATGTGACACTCAGATCAGAATTCATGTGCTTTTTTCCACTGCCCTGCGCCATCATTCAGCGTTACCATGGCAGCAGCACCGAACAGAAGTTAAAGCCTGTAAACGGTGGAAAAGCAGCTCATCTCACCTTTTTCACCTCCATCTCGCTCTAATAATGAAGCTGAGAGCTGATCAGAGTTAATTGTCTTCTCAGCGAAGCTCGTTCTGCTCGTTCTGCTCGTTAGTTTGTGCTGATGATGGACGTGATTCATTCATAGACGTTACTGAGTAGGATGAGCTCACTAGGTCATTTCAGGACGCCGGTTCGTCACATTAATGACAGATTACCTAAACAAGTGTGAACCATCCTGTCAGAGAGATCGGATTTGAGCAGAAAATCGGATTGGAGCAATGAGGCTTGCAGTGTGAACATAGCTTAAGGGAGATTCCCCTTTTTGAGTCCAGGTTCCTCTCAGTGATTCTCTTAGGGAGTTTTTTCTCCCCTGGAGATGCTTATGAAGACGCAGTTTAGGACAAGCTGTACAAATGAAACTGAGCTGAGTATAAATATGGGGATTCAAATGCTGACAAACAGTTCTGAAGACAAACACTGAGACGAGAGTGTTTGAATAGGCTGTAGCTGTTAGTGTGTTAGAGTGTTTAAGTCGCTCAGCTGCTCAAGACAACAGTAAAATAAAAGGAAAACAAGAAGAGCTGGGAGCGATTGAGTAGGAATGAGTGTAGTCAGCCAATATCAACTATGCAGTAGAAGCTAAACTGTTGTTAGCTGGCTAATCTGCTTGTTTCAGCAGCTTGGGGCTGAATGCTGCCAGCGTTTATCTTTTTCTTAAGTTCTTCTTTAGCGTCAAGAAGCGTAAGCACATTTAGGAAGGTTCCTTTTTTAGGAAGGTTCTATTTTTTAAGGCTCTATTTTTATATTATGTTTATATTATGCAAAAGTTTGGGCGCCCCTGGTCAAATGACGTTTTTGTTGATGTTTAACACATCTTCTACAGAGAACACACTCCTGCACATTTTAATGCTCTATTACTGCATACATCTGTCGGTTGGCAAGTGAAATATTCTTAAATCTTGTCGATATGTCTAATATTTCTCATTTTACGATTGTTCGCAGAATTGTATAAGACTTATAAACTTTAACTTGCATTACTAGACATTTTACTTGTTTTAAGCTTTAAGCTTTAGCTCAGCTATAGCTGCTTTTCTCACATCTCTGGCAGGAAACTTTTCCTCAGAAGTGGAACAGTTTCTTGTAAAATGTCCCTCAGCATTCACATGTTTTCTAGGCTGAAGTTGCTTCTCATTCACCAGCTTCTTGTTTGAATTTTCCCGTTCCACCTTAAATGGTCCCTGAGGTGCCAGAATGTAACTGCTGCACCATTTAAGGTGGAATGGGACAATTTAAACGAGAAGCTGGTGAATGAGAAACTGACTTCAGCTTCATGACTTTTTAGTGTTTGATAGTTTCATTTCTTTTTAGTAACTTGCTGTGAGGGAGCTTTTAGAGGTGGACGTCTGGTTCCTATCACCACCACTGTGAACAATTCTGACTATACACTGTAGCATTTCACACCAAACCACTCTGAACGACTCTGTTTACATCTCAACCATTTAATTATGCACAAATGTTAAAAAATTGTCCGTCTATCCTTTTGCAGGTGAACGCCTTCGGGTTTGGAGCGGACCCGTCCGGTAGCTGGCATCATTACTGGGAGGAGGCCGCGTGGGGCAGAGCTTTCAGACAGACCGGCGTCCACGACGGAGACTACGAGCACAACATCACGCAGCTGCTGGCCGAGAAAGGAAAGATCAGACTGTTCAAAGGAGTCTCCAAAGCCCTGGCGTTTCAGTGGGACAAGCATCTGTAACTGTCCATCGCAGCAGCGCACTGAGGGGAGAGACGGACCACCCTGAGCTGACGGCCCTGCACTCGTCTGTCCTGCTGGCGTCCGTTTCTCTGTTTTCGTTTGTTTGTTTGTGATTATTTCTTCATTCTTCTGGACTCTGGAGATGTTTGAAGCACCACAGACGAGGAACTGACCGTCTCACACGAAGGAGAAGAATCTGAGTTTCTCTCCTTTTATCTCTCCTTCTCTACCTACTGATTTCACTCTCTCTTTTCTTCTCTCTTTCCTCTTTTCCCTGCCTGTTTGTTCGACTGTCTGTCTCTTATCACCAGTTTGAGTCTCTCTCTGATTCAAACAGGAGAGAAAAGAGAAAGAAAGACTCAGAGCTGCAGTTCCATCTTTCTCTCCACCTGTTTCACTCTCTCGCTCTCTCTCTCTCACCTGCCTCTCTCTTCTGCCTGTTTTTGCTCTTTTTTTCTTTCCTCTCTCTCTCTCTCTCCCCCTCACTTTCTTCTCCTCTCTTTCTCTGCCACTTTTTCTCTTTCCTCTCTGTCCTACCTACTTCATTCTCTCTCTGTGTGTCTCTCTCTGTCTCTCTCTTCCTCCCTCTCCTACCTATTGTAGTCTCTCTCTCCTTCTTTTCTTTCTTCTACGTTTTCTCTTTCTTCACTCTTGTTTCTTTCTTCTCTTTTTCTTTCATCTCTCTCTTTTTCTCTTTTTTCTGTCTCATTTCTTCTTTCGCTTTTTTCTTCTCTTTGTTTTTCTCTTTCTTTTCTCTCTCTCTTTCTCTTTCTTCTTTTTTGTGTCTTTCTTCTTTTTCTTTTCCTTTCCTCTCTTTCTTATGTCTCGTTCTTCTCTGTTTCTTTCTTCTCTCTTTTTTCTTTCTTTCTTTCTTGTGTCTCTTTCCTCTTTCTTTCTACTGTTTTTCTTTTGTCTCTCTCTCTTTTTCTCTTTCTTCTCTCTCCTTTTCCTTTCTTCTCTTTCTTGTGTCTCCTTCCTTTTTCTTATCTTTCCTTTCTTCTTTTTCTCATGTCTCGTTCTTCTCTTTCTTTTTCTTTCTTCTCTCTTGTTTCTTTCTCCTCTCTTTTCCTTTCGTCTCTCTCTCTCTCTCTCTCCCTCTCTCTCTCTCTCTCTCTATCTCTCTGTGCTGTCACAGTGACAGGTGTCCAGTATTACTGCAGGTCAGTCATGTGCAGGGGATTATGAGTGAGAGACGGAGTGTGTTGTGTTGGCACGCGTCACGGTTCTCACGGCGACTGAGCGACGCTCAGCGTGCACTCCTCCGTCTGTCTTTCCTGTCGTTTTTGTGTTCGGTTCACAGGTATTACTGACCGCTGTGTTCAGTTCTGTTCTTATTTAAACGCAGTGCTGTGTCTCTGTATTAAAGGGCCACATCATAGAAAACTCTAATTTATTTAAATGAAAGGGTTTAAATACAGACCCTTCACTCTGCCCATTCACGTTGAGGGGAAGGAGGTTTTATTCCCAGACTACTTATTGAATGATGGCAGCCAATCAGAACAGAGCTCATTTACGTATCTTACTCTTAAAGGGACAGTAACCAAAACGGCCTGTTTAACTCTAAGGGATAAAAAGAGGCTGGAAATGGCAAATAGTCATTTGAAAAATGAATTATGACCATTTTGGATACATAAGCTCACACATGTGACTGGAATTCAGGGGGAAAATTTAAAATACAGGGAAAATGTAGGATTTGGGCCCTTTAGGGTTTTTTGTTAATTTTAAAACCATTTAGCACTTTGTATTTTTAGATTTATCAGATGTCTTAGCAGTATCTTCATTCAACTTCATTTATGATGCAGAAAACAAACAGTAAGGACCGTGGTGGTGGTGGCGGGGGGCTCAGCTTTCTCACTCTTCTGTGAAAGTAAGAACATGGTTCTGTCTCAGTAGAAGGGCAATTCTACCCATTTTTTCAAAATGTCTTCATTGAGATGTATTCAGAGTCATTCAGAGTGGTTTGGTGTGAAATTGTTCACTGTAGAGACTCAGATGTCTTTACAGTGGTGGTGATAGGAACCAGGGGTCACCATGACTACAACACAAATATAGACATTTTATTTACTATCTAAAACCACCAGTGAACCTACACGAGTCTTCTGAGTTGTATATGTAATGTTGATGATGGTAAAATATCATATACATCTGAAAAAGGTCAAATCAAAAAACAGTGTCTCAGACATCAGCAGTGAATTCATAACCATTTCATGTAATAACTTCCTGTGAAGGAGATTTCAGAGGTGGACGTCTGGTTCCTATCACCACCACTGTGAACCATTCTGACTCTGTAAGTTTCTCTAGAACAGAGCATTTCACACCAAACCACTCTGAATGACTCTGTTTACATCTTAACTGTTTAATTATGCAGAATAATATTCTGATAAACGCTTTGCCTGTGAAACGTTTTTGGGACACTGACCTTTTCGAAACATTTCATGAGCCTAATCAGGGTTATTTGTAGGAGGAAAATATCACACCTGTAAATATTAGTGACAGTATTAGTGACACTCTTGGGATTAAAGCCAAAGCCCACCCATTGGACCCCCATACTGTGATGTCAGCCCTCATCAGCACTCAAACCTTTCGAGTATTTAAACTAAAGAGAAATCTTATCTGGGCCAAATGTAGCAGAGAGTGGGACACAGCAATGTAAAATTTTTTGTTAAATCATTGTCACTCAGTAATAACTCAGTAACGCAGTAACCATTGAATAAACAAGGTCAGCAAGAACTTGCAGTGTCGTTATGTTACTCCCCCTTGTGGAGAATCTGCAAGCTGCTAAATGTGAGTGAGTCATAAGCCAGGTCCATGAGGTACTTCATATCTACTAAAAAAGTTGAATCTGGAGAAATATCTGTCCAATTCTTATCAAAATTGGTAGACGACGTTGCTATTGGAATATAAGATGATGACCAAAAGCACTTCCTTCTTGAGCCTGTTTAACTACATAAAATCTCCATTAAACTTTGCCCCATGTTAGACTGGGCCCCGCTCTCTGGTACTATTCAAACCAAAGAAGACACTTTTATGAACATGGAGCTGAGTGTTGAAGCTAAACATACCCAAAAGTTTAGCATATCGCTGTAATTTGCAGGTCATTTTTCTTACTTTATAGAAGATCAGACAGTAAAAATGAAAACGACAGTGTCCCCAATCCTTCAACAGGCAGTATAGATCTACATTCAACAGAAGGAGAGAAAGAACAAGAGATGGAGAAACAGCAAGAAAAGCTGACTGACGATATTTCAGTTTGTCACTGAGAAAACAAATAGTTCAGTATTAAATCAAACAGATGTCAGGTTACTGTCCTGCAAAGTGCCTTTACTTCTGTTGATGTTTGTTGTTGTTGTCGCTGTTGTTGCTTAAAAAACAAGATGAATACTGTGTTTTTAAACTTGATCACAGTTTTTTAAATCAAATAAATATTTAATAAATGTTTTGTTTTCCATTCTGAAGAATCAAACTCATCAGCTAATTACCAGGATCTCTAATGAATCACCGATGCTTGCAGAGGGAAAACATTTGTCAGTTGATCTTGACCAAAAATTAATTTCATGTATGTTGTCTGTGAGATAATGTGAAGTAAAAGATGCCTATTTTAGCTCCTTTGTTGCGTCTGTGTGATTGTAACCTGTTGTTCTGACTTCAACGTGGAATATCCCTCACTTTTTTGATTAAATGAGATACTGAGTAGGGCCTCCCTTCATGGCATGGATTCCACAAGATGTTGAAAACATTCCTTTGAGATTCTGGTCCATGTTGACATGATTACATCATGCAATTCCTGCAGATTATTAAGGTGAATGTCCAGTTCTACCAAATCCCAGAGGTGTTCTATGCACATGGTCAGCAACAATACTCTATACCAGGGGTATCGGCAACCCAAATGTTAAGAAGAGTAATTTTTTGTCCTTTCAACAAAAGTCGATCCACCTTGGGAGCCACGACATTTTTGTCCATTTTATTGAAGTGACGTTTTACCATCTTGGCTGAAAGTATGTCTTCATATTTGCTGGCTAATGTCCTAGTATAGGCTAAAAAATATAAACAAAAACACAGACTTACTTTGTTCTGCTTTAAGCTTAAGCTTTCTGCTTTAAAGCTCAGCTATAGCTGCTTTTCTCACATCTCTGGCAGGAAACTTTTCCTCAAAAGTAGAACAATTTCTTTGAAAAATGTCTCTCAACATTCGTTTTTTGACGAGGCTGAAGTCGCTTCTCATTCGCCGACTTCTTGTTTGAATTTTCCTATTCCACCTTAAATGGTACCTGAGACGCCAGAATGTGCTGCTGCACCACTTAAGGTGGAACAGGAAACGTTGAATGAGAAGCATATGATAATCTGACTTCAGCTTCGTGACTTTAGTGTTTAACAGTTTCTTGTTGCAGATTAAACGTATCAGGAAACCAGCTGGAGTGATTATAAATGTAAATAAGTCCATTCGTCTCCAAATTATCGCTGTTCATCTTAAACAACGATGTTTAAAAAATGTTTCATTCACCTTTTTGCATAAAATAGACCTGATCGTTAAATTAAAAAAACAAAAAAAAATGTGTGAATGGATCTTTTTGGGATATGTTGCCTTGAAGCAACATTATGCAACAAGGGAAAGAAATGATACAGAGTGTCAAGAAATATTATTCTAAATTCTAAATGGAAAATATGTATGACTGCACTATTCACTCACGTGGCTGTTCTGTTCGCTTTGTTTACGACTAGCTAAATCGACTCCACAGTGTTGCTTCTAGGCAACAAACATATTTCAACAAATTCTTCAAATAGTATATATGGTAGTGAATATAAAGTAAAGTTATTTTACACTAATAGATGTGAATCGAATTTTTGAACTGATGAAAATTTGTTTTTTTTTCTGAGGGAAATTCATTGGTGCTGTAACGTGTGTCGTCCAAAAGCTGCACCATCCCAAAAAATAGTTTCAAACTGTCCAAAAGATTGTAATGTGACCAAAGTACACACTTTTTATTGGTTTGTCCAAACTCTTCCCTTAAGTATTAACCCTCTCTTAATCACTAAATATGCATCATATCATTGTAAAGTGAGGAAAACGAGTTTGTTGCCCTGAGGCAACATCATGCAATAGAGGGTTAATCAGACTAAATTTTTCCAGTCTTCAGCGAGTGAGCTTGTGTCCACTGCAGCCTCAGCTTTCTGATTTTATTTACCAAATCTACTGATTTCATTTTGTTTCTATTACAGCTGCTTACTTTGACAAACAACATGAACCGTTTAGTTGCCATGAATAATTTGTTCCACTATAAAAAGGTACACATGGCATCTTCAGGTCACAGAGTGAGGTCCTGAGGTCAGCTTTGGGAACAGAGACCCTTACCCCTCTGCTTCTGACAGTTGTGGAAAAACTATAAAGTTTAGAGATTGCAGGGTACAGAAGTCTCAGACCAGCAGTCCATG